TATATATATATATATATATATATATATATTTTAATTTTGGTTTAGCGATACAACATTAGCATATTCTACATGAAATTGCAGTGGATTGACAAGAAATCTAAAGCTTATCTTTCTGGTCTTATTTTAATTTTATTTTTAAAGTCTTTGAATTTTTTTTAATACGATGATTCTAACATTTTAACAACGAAGGCAGAAAAGAAATACGTTGATATTGGACAAAGTATATAATAAAGTTGCTGTGAATCTGCACCTTGACTTTATTATTTATGAAAACAGTCATTATATAGAATGACCGTAACAGAATTACAATCAAATAAAATAAATTCTAACAAATCAATCTTATCATTAAAATTAATTAACAAACTATTTGTTATCAGATTAACAATATCAAAATAGATGAATCTTATCCTAATACTCCCCCTCAAGTTGGAGCATGGAGGGAGGAAATGTCCAACTTGGACAATAAAAATTGAAACTGCTTTCTACCGAGAGCTTTAGTTAGAATATCTGTAGGTTGGGAATCAGTCCGAATGTGTTGTGTGGAAATAGTTTTGGACATCATATGTTCTCGAACAAAATGACAGCCGAGTTCAATGTGTTTTGTCCTTTCATGAAAAACTATTGCGCATATATACACGAGTAATGAGTCATTTAGTTAGTGTTATGATTATATATATATATCGAGACACAGACACACATAAATATATCAGATATTGATTAATTAGGAAACTTGTGTTAAATCTGTCTTGGGTTGACATCTATTATCAATTTCCTCTCTTTACCGTTTGATGATACATACTGATTCCGATCGACACATAAAGGAAAGAGGAATCAAAGATAAAGCAGCAAATATACATCATATATGTGAAACTAATAATTAATATAAGCTCCGATCGTGCAGCGTGATGAAAATAACAACTTAATTTGATAGACTTACATATAATATACATATATAAGTTTACCTCTGTACAATGCCTTAACGTATATATGGGAGCGCCTCTTTTTCTCCAACCTTTCTATCTCGCAAAGAATGTGAAGAGGGCAAATTTAAAAGAAAAAGCAGAAAACAAATATTTAAAACATAATATAAATAATAAAGAAGCTAATTAATCAAACGCTATGGATTGATATATTATATTCTATAAAGATATTTACGATGGATTTAGGATCATGAGCTCTGAGGCAGTGACAAGACATCTCATTACTTCAACTTGAGCTCGCAGTGATTGTATATAATCTAGGGTTTCTTCAACCAAACACACATCTTCCATGGATTCTCCTCCTGGTACGAGACTCTTGAGCCTTCGCGTTCTCTTCTCGACAAGCTTCTTCGCAACGAAACTCGCCACCACCCTATCCTTCGTTCTGTGGACTCCTCGGTTTCTTCTCAACATGTTTCTGCAGCTTCTGATCCTTATGCTGTGAGAATTATTCGTGAAGCTTTTCCTTACCCTCTGTGGTGACGATAATGAGCCTAACACGTGTTCCGTGAGGACCTTGCTGTTACCATCTCTGGAAGCATTCGCAATAAGGGCTCTGCTCCAGCGAGTGGTTTTGTTTCTGGTGGAAGCCATCGCTAAATCTGCTGAAGCCTTTATGGCTTTCTTTCTCTCCATCAGGTTCATGTTCTTCTTCTCAGAGCTAAATTTTCTCAGACCCCATATCCATTTCTTCAGGAATTCTTGCTTCACTGAGTTGATGTTTCGCATTCTGTGAAACAAGTGTTGAAATTAAGGGTTATACGTTGTAACTGTGTATATGCTAGTTATTACCTAGGGCTTGCTATAGCTAGACGAAATTTAATTTAATTATATGTAATTAATTATCTAGAAGGAAAAAAAAATGATGAATTAAGGGTTACCTTGATGAAATGGTTGTAACGGAGAGTATGAGATGGAGAAAGAAAAATTATGAATGAGGGTTGATGAGTGACGATGCAGTGTTACAGATGGAAGCAAAGTGGTATATGATGAGGATCTGAGAAAGAGAGAGAGAGAGAGAGAGAGGGGTTGAGAAGAGGAAGAATGTGTAGGGAACGAATTTATGTGCTCGAAAGATGAGAGTGGTGGGCCTTGGAGAGAAAGACACAGCACATGCTGGCACATGGAGTCCCTGGCCCACTACCCAAAACCATAGAGAATAATGTTACATTATAAAGAAAACAATGTATTTAGATTAGTGGTAAAGAAGAATAAAGGTGACCTTAATGTAATGCAAACCTAACATCGGTATCTTTGTTTTGAATACAAACAAAACTCACTAAATACGACTCGCTTCGAAACAATGTGCCTATGGCCCGCGAGTGGAACTCCGTGAGAGCAAGATTGTACCTTATCATCACTATTAATTATTTTTAATTAATGATTATAGCTTTGCATTCTATCTTTTAAAATGTGTGCCCTCCATTTTAGGGTAATTAAATTATGGAATAGGATGTATTTGTATTTTCTAGACTTGATTCATTGTTGCAATAAATTTTGATACCTGATTTTCAACTAAACTAAATCATAATGATTTAAGTTCATAAATAATGTTTACATGGTTAAATTATTATTATTTTAATAAAAATTGTTAATAAAAGTAGCTCATCATTTATGTTTGTTAACTAAATATTAGGATATAATCTCTAATTTAAGAGAAATTATTAGGTAGTTCTAACTTACATAATACTTAATGAATGATATGTAATCAAATGTTATTAATTTTTCTTGTAAACTTAAAAACTTACATACATGTTATGTAAAGATTAAATTGAGATCTTGAATGATAATCTTAAACTACCTAATAATTTCTCTCGATTTAAACATGATAATTGAAGATACACTATATTCTAAATAAGTCAACTTAGGAATAGAAAGTTATACCCCTAATTATACTAAAAGAAATCATGTTATGTTTTAATATGGTCAAAATAGATAACATTATTTTTAAACGTAACACTAAGTTCAATGGAACCTCAATTTGGTCACTTAGATTGTGGAAAACTTTCTTATGCAATAATTAATGAAGTAAATATAACATGCTTTAATCATGACGTGTTACATATATTAGATTATATAAATAATGCAAGATTTGCATGATTATATTTTTAATGTTAGTTTTAGCATGCATGTTCAAAATATCAACATTGTCAATGGGTTGGATATTAAGCATGAAAATATCAACATTGTCAATGGGGTTGGATATTAACTTTGCCGGGTCTTTTCGTTCTTGACAACTAGGACTTGAGTTTCCTAAAATAACCTGTCAATAAGTCATACATAATCTCATTATAAGTCCTTGATATGTTAAAATTAGTAGTTTTCTCAGACATTGCATGGCGCAGCCGGTCTTTTTCTCTTAAACATTGTGAAAATTCGATTTAGATCAAGCTTAGATTCTGGAAAACTTTTTCTTAATGCATTAATTATTGTGGTGATCATATATCTAACATGATTTAATCATGACTAATTTAATGGTTAAAATTGATTAATTTTATATTTTATAAAATATTATTAAGTAATATAAGTACAAAAGTCTCAGATTGATATCAAATAACTTTTGTACTTCTATATATATATATATATATATATATATATATATATATATATGATTTA